TCTGTTGCTGCCGTGTGGTGTGGTGCACGCTGCCGGGCGGTGCGTGCGGCTGGGCGGCCCGCTGTGCGTGCTGCTGCTTATGACTACGTGCTGCTGCCTCTGCTGCTGCCGTGTGGTGCAGTGCGCGCTGCCGGGCGGTGGCCCATAACAGGTGCGTGTTGCACGCTGCCAGGCGGTGCGTGCGGCTAGGCGGCCCACTGTGCGTGCTATTGCCTTATGACTGCGCTGCAGTGTGCTTCCGGCTGGCATGCCCATAACAAAAACCTTGGCATGGACACTGCTCCCTCAACTTTTTTGACTACCAATCTGGGTAATACAAATTCTATCAATGTCTGTGATTCGTCATTAACCCATCCAGTCAGCCCATTCAACTTGTCAACTTGAATAGAAGACAGGTCTGTTACTCCAGACCTGGTAATGTACAAAAAACCAGAGAGAGAGAAAGAGAGACCATGATGACAATGACATGATAGCAAAACGAGCAGCAACAAATACGTAAAGAACAAGAATCAGTCAGCCATCTATTCATTTCCAGTAAAATTTCTGGGTTCATCTGAAAACTCTTCACAACACTGTTTGGGGTTAGGAACTTTCAGCCAAGGTCTCCTGCAGAGATCTTTTCTTTAGGCTCTGTTTGGAAGGAGCACAAATACAAATATGTAAGTGCAAAACCATATACTTGGTATTATTATGTATGTATTTTTATACTGTACATATTTGTATTTGTACTCCTTCCAAACTGAGCCTTATGGCCAAGACTTAAAAGTAGCAAGATGGCCAGATTGATTTGGAGCTGTATATCATTTGCCATATTTTGGAATATTTGGGTATCTGGAAGGAAAGGAATAGAAGACAAGGCCTGGAATTTGGATATAGACTAGTGGTGGCTGTTGGAAAATCTGTCTCAGATTGGGTTTTGGTGTTACCTGAATTTACACAAGAAAGAAAATCTTAGGGACAGACATTGAAAGGTGTTGGGATTACATATATGTAATTTTTTTTTTGATAAATGATTACATATATGTAATTTGGACGACTGGTCCTCATCATTTTTTTTTTCTGTTGTTGCATTACTTGTAAGTATTTGCCTTAACACCTAATCAGGTTCTAATTTTTTCCTTGTAATGAAATTTTTACTTTTTCTATTAAAAAAAAACAGTAACAAAGTGAACACAGTCAGCGATGCAGCAGACTTCCATCGCTGCCAAGGATTTAGATGTGTGTATATGAGAGAGAGAGGGAGAGCTTAATGCCAATTTCCACGTGTCACAGCAACAAAGATGCTGACGTCCACCGTGATGGCCAACTTTGACGGTAGTAAGTACCCTCTCCTCCTCCTTATACGAGGAATGACACTTGTAACTTAAGAGTTCGACTATGATGTGAGGAAAACTTGTAACCAATCAAACTGGTATCATAAATGTGGTAACCAATCAGGTAGTTTTTTATCAAATTCATTTTGTGTTTTTTTTTTTTTGGGGGGGGG